GTAATATCAATTCTCCTATTTGGCAGTGAATGCTGGACAATTTCCTCACAGATGAAGAGGAGACTTGAAGCAATTGAGGTGTGATTCTATAGAAGGTGTTGAGAATGCCATAAACACAATATGTGAGCAGCAAAGAAGTTTTTAGTACAATGGGAATGAAAACTATACATACTTACAATCAAAAACAGGCAGGTAAAATTTCTAGGATGCATAATGAAGAAGGGTTGCTTGGAGAATTTAACACTCAAGGGGATATATTGAAAGCAATACAAAGTCAACAGATCATGTTGCTGAAGTCCCGTGCTCATTAAAGTGCAGACTGATGATCTTTCTCTCTACAATTATGAACAGAAGTAACTTGCTCGTCTGGTGGCAGAATTTTTATTTCTAATTCCAAATAGATTTATATTGTCTTGATATACATGCAATTTGAAAGAAACCATTTGAGACTGAATAGCAGCCATTGTATATTTTTCCTACACCTTTCCTTTGTTCCCTGTTCTTTATTCATATTTTCTCTTTCTTTGTTCCTTTTCATGTTTCATCATCTTCCCCCTCCCCACTCCCAGCCTAATGACCTTATTGATTGTTTGTTTTAATGAAATACTGAACTGAACTTTTTAATCTTGTTAGGACGTGAGGCTCAATTATTTACAATGTCAGCGAGTATGGAAAATACAATAGGTCAGTATAAACTGCACTTGTCGTGGCTCTCATGGAATCATAGACATTAAAAGTCACTGCACAAAGCCATTTTTCACATTTCTTTTTTACTGCCAAATTATAATAATAATGAATTTTGTTTGACTCTTATTTTATGTTTTTTTATCTTTCTAAAGCTTTGTGTCAAAGCTAAACATTTAAAAAGAATAGATGAAAACCAAGATTCAAAGAACATTTTCTTTTTTCTTTTTTTTTTAGTATGAGACTAAATATGAAATAGTATATCATTAAAATTTATTTACTTGTCTTTAAAGCTCTGCTTGTCTTTTTTTTTCTTTTTTTTTTAAAAACAATTTATGACTGAATATAAAATGTGCAGGAAACATAGAATATAGTCATATTTGTGAGTAGCACTTGCATTTATTCCTGACAATTCCTTGTTCCTCAAATGCAATACATTTCTAGCATAAAATCATTTACAAAGCATTTCTGTAGCAAAAGACTGCAATAAAATAATTATACACATAGTAGCCCTAGTCTTTCAGTAATGCTTGCATTAATTCCTGACCACTGACAATCCCTTTCTTCCCCATTTGCAGTGCATTTTGTTTTGGAAGTGTTAAAATCAGCAAGCCATTTCTTGCCCCAGTTCACAACAGATTGTAGGTCAATTTTTGAGATCAACTGCCAATTTGACCTTATTGAATCTATCAATCTTACTCTTAAGACTGAAGTAAATAGGTATACCATCATCAGAAATATTGAGTTGACAACTGATGTCATTCTTATCTAAAGCTTGATATATTGTTTCATCAATAACCTAACACATCAGTTCTCCTATAGAAGGAAAACCATTTTGTTTGTCTGATAGAAGTGATTATATCCTCTGGCTTTCTTCCATGTCTGTTGTATTCAATAACTTTTAGTTATGATTGTTATACACTGTTCTATTTAGACAATGTTTATGATTGGCCTCTCCAATCTTCAATTGTATGGAAATTTTAAACTTTAAGGATAATGGCTGTTATGTAGGAATAAAGTGTCACTGCCGACAATGGAGTTTGAACACAGATCACCAGAGAGCAAACACAGGTAATCCTATTTTGAATAAGTCGAGCATGTGATGGTAAAGTAAGTGTATATATGGGAATTAGCGTGGCGTCTAAGGGATCACTATATGGATTACTAATCAGTGGTTACTTTCGAGTGATTATTATCGAGTAAGTACTATTAGTGCAAATGTTATTCAAAGGCATCTGAAACCAGTATTGTTCAACGGCATTACTATAGTTGTATCTGCAATTACAAAGTCTCTACTACAATAGGCATCACAAAGTGACAAGTATTCGTTGACATCACAAAAGTGGCAACGAGTGTTTGTTGACATCAAAAAATGGCATAATGATTAAAAGCATTTGTGAGGTGCATCTAGTTACCTAGTGATTATGAGTTCAATCTCTTGTTCAGGCAGTAAAAAGAAATATGCCCTTACCTGGTGGCAGAACTGACATTGAAAGTTCAAATTAAGAATAAGTAAACAACAAGAAAGTTTTAAAGAAAATGGCAACACAAAGAACACTTCTACTCAGAATCAGAAATAAAAATTTGAAATTCCTTGGACATATAATGAGGAAGGAAGGCTTGAAAAATTTAATCCTCACAGGGTGTGTGTGTTTATATATAGTGGACAAGAGAGGAGAAGGCAGAGAGACACTTATCTCAAGTTTGTGAATGAATGGCAGAAGTGGAGACTTAGATAAGGGAGAAAAGTTGCACAAGTGATAGGAAGTTGTGAAGAGCCATGATCGGCTATGTTCTTTGCGTGGATAGTAGTATGAGAATTATCATGGATGAAAAAGAGATTGACCAAAGGTTGTTTTTTTTTTTTTTTTTGTGGGTGAGGGGGATGAAGGATAGAAGGCACAAAGCCAAAATGTTGTCGCTCCTACAACAAAGATGATGATACTTGACAAACAGATCAATGTATAATAATAATTCCTCATTTGGAAAATTCAAACTATTATTATCAAGTAAGCTGAATTCATTGAAATTTAATTGGTGCTATGGCAATCATCTTGTGTTTTTTTTTTTTTTTTTTTTTCTGGATCTTCTTATTCAGGCCCTTATCCCTTCTAATCTTTGTCTAGCCATTTTTTTTTTATATAAATGTTTCACAAACAAAATATATTTTATATGTGAAAAAGGAATGAAAAATTCTACTTGAGCCGCTCTTTTAATCTTTTCTTTTGCTTTATCCATCCAAAAAGAATTTAAATGGATCACAATTTTCATGCCTTTCCATCTGAAACTGCATTTCAATTTTTCACTCCTTGCTTTGCATTTTACACTCCTTCTCCATCTTTTGAACAAGAGTAGAGGTTTATCCATTGTTTCCTGTTCAGGATTGGATTTCCAGCTCATTCTAAAATCTTCTCATTCTCTTTCACTCTCAGTAACCCACTTGTGTCTTAGTGGCATTATCACCTTGCTTGGAGTGAAATGATTAAAAAAAAAAAAATTTTTTTTTTTTTTTTTTTTTTTTTTTTTTTTTTTTTCAATCTCTACACATGCATATGTATTTTTCTTTTCATTTTCTTTTATTCCAGTCTTCACCTCCTCACCTTCGTTCTTCCCTTGCCTCCTCACCAATACTGAATGATTAATATTATTAGGGATACAGATGATTTAACATTAGTATGCTCTAAATTATTAGATTGTTTGGAAAACAATTCCTAATTTTAGAATAAAGTTTTTAATTGTGTTCTAATATATTATTATAATAGTTGCATAAAAATCCCTCATGATTAAAATGTTCTCTTTTATTAATTTTATATCAATCTCCTTCCTAATCTTATTCATAAAATGTCTGATTTTAGAATAAACCTTTTAATTGTGTTCTAATATATTATTATAATAGTTGCACAAAAATGTATTACTCATTCCTAATGATTAAAGTGTCCTCTTTGTTAATTTTATATCAATCTCTTTCAGTATTTAACTTAAAACATATTCACCACACAATAATTCTTAAACTCCTGCCAACATTAACAGACGATAGAGTGAGGAATTCACTTGTGGTCAGACAATATAGCGCTGGTTTTTGAAGTTCTGTAGTCAGGAGATGAGTGTTGAAGATCAAGGTGGTAGGGGACGTCCCATCTGCAACTGACAATCAACATCTGAAAACACTAGTCTAACAAAAACCACATCAAAGTGTTAAGAAAAATGTCTCAGATAATGGGTGCTAGCATTTTAACAATATCAGACCATCTCAAGGAAATTGGCATGGAGAAGAGACTCAATAAGTGGACTCCACAGTGAAAGTCAGAGTTTTGATATTTTTTAAATGGATCCTTTATGATAATTGTAAATGATCAGCTCAATAGCTTCATCATGACAAATGACCCAAATGCTTTCCAAAACTGAACTTGCACCATAAGAAGATTATGATGACTGCCTGATGGTTTGTCATTGGTTTTAATCTATTACAGCTTTCTGGAATCTAACCAGTGCATTTATTGCCAGCAACTGTATGAAATGAACTTTCAGTTAAGCAAAATATGGCTGGCACTGGTTAATTGACTAGGTCCAGTTCTGCTTCATGACCATGCCCGGCCACATGTTGCCAGGATGATCCTGCAAAGCTCTCCCACTTTGCTACATTCACCATATTCCCATGATCTCTCACCCACTGACTACCACTTTTTCAAGCAGCTCATCAATTTTTTAAGCCCACAAAACCTAGATGTAGAAACTGTATTTTTGGCATCCAAACCTTTTGCAGCTTTATTGTAAAGGCGTAAATAACCTTGTAACTTGATGGCAAGAATGTATAGATGTTAAGGGTTCCTATTTTGATTGGTTTAAACACTGTTTAAATGCATTAATTCAGACATAAAAGTTGATTCTGAAATCAGACATTATTTTCCAAATAACATAGTTATCCTTATGGATGACTGAAATCTTTTTATTTTTTATACCCTCCCCCCCCTTCAAACACACCAGTATTTTACCATATTCTTGAGAATGGTGTGGTTAGTAACTTTCTGTTTTGTGTGTGTGTGTGTTTCTGCTTTTCTCCTATCCTTTGACTATTTGATTTATTATTGTCATTGCCATTACACCCCCATAAAATGGTCCATATGCAATACTTTTCATAGAGCACCTGTGACATCATGGTAGATGTAATGCAGATGTGATATTTAGGATAAAAAAATACTATTGTGTTTAATTAATGATATACTTTTGAGTCAGTCAATGTGACTTGTTAATGTAGGCCAAGCAATGTCAGATTAAAACAACTGGAGATCCTGGCCCAGAAGACTTAATAAAATAGTATGCAGATAATGGGAACCCAAATATTGTCCCCAAATCTCCCTGTCTCTCTCTTTCCCCTCCCCTCTCCTCCCCTCTCCTCTTTCTCTCCCCTCTCTCCTCCCTCTCCCTCTCTCTCTTCCCTCCCCTTTCTCCCTCGTTTCTCTCCCCTCTTTCTCTCCCTCTCCCCTCCCTCCTCTCCCTCTCTTATATCCCCTCTCTTCCCTCCCCTCTCCTCGTTTCTCTCCCCTCTCTTCCCTCCCCTCCCCTCCTCCCTCCCTCCCTCCTCCTCTCCCCTTCTCTCCCCCTCGTTTCTCTCCCCTCTCCCTAGAGAACAATCCCTAGTTTCCTCTCCCCTCTCTTCCTCTCCCCTCCTTTCCTCTCTTCCCTCTCCCCGTTTTCTCTCCCCTCTCCCTTAAAGCTTCTTTCTCCCCCTCCTCCCCCCTCTCCCTCTTCCCTCCCCTCTTTCCCCTCTCCTCCTCTCCCTCTCTTCCCCTCCCCTCATTTCTCTCCCCTCTCTTCCCCTTAACTCTTCTCTCCCTCTCTAATCCCTCCCCTTTTCCTCCCTTTTTCTCTTTTTAACTCCCTCTCTTCCCTCCCTCTCTTCCCCCCTTTTCCCCTCTCCCTCATTTCTCTCCCCTCAGCCCCTCCCCCCTCTCCCCTCTTCTCTCCCCTCTCTTCCTCTCCCTCTCTTCCCTCCCCTCCCTCCCTCTCTCCCCTCTTTTCTCCCCTCTTCCCTCTCCCCTCCCCTCTTCCCTCCCCTCATTTCTCTCCCCTCTTCCCTCTCCCCCTTCCCTCCCTCTCTTCCTCACCTCCTCGTTTCTCTCCCCCTCAGGGGGCCTCTCTCCCTCCCCTCTTCGTTTCTCTCCCCTCGTTTTCTCCCCCTCTCCTCGTTTCTCTCCCTCTCCCTCCCTCCCCACCAATCTCTCCCCTCTCTTCCTTGGTCCCCGTTTCTCATCTAACATCTCCTCCTTTTAACATCTAAACAAAAAAAAAGAGTTTGAAATTTTAGCTTGAATACCATTTGTTTCTAACCTTTTCATAAGATTGCAAAAGTATGGAATTAATAAAGAAATTCACAAGTATCATTTATAGCTTGTATGTTTAATTACAACGCCTGACTACCAAGTACACTCATCTGTTAAGGTGGCAAGCTAATCCTTTTTACAGACTCCTGCTCAGGCACATTTTTGTTTGTTCAACATCCAGAGAACCAACCTATAGTTTATTGCAACTATCCTGGGCAGATTTTAATTATAGTTTTTGAGACAGAGAAAGCATAGTCTGGTGTGATCAGTCATTGAATAAACCCTCAGTCACGATGACTTGTAACAACTATAGACAGCTCACCTATATGTAAAACATAAATATTTTACTGCAACTATGCCAAGCAGATTTTAGTTATGGTTTCTGAGAGAGAGAGAGAGAAAGGGTAATGTGGTGTGATCAATCAATGAACAAGGCCAGTCTGCTCAAACACTCAGTCACAATGACTTGTGACTTTGTTCTAGCACAACTAGAGACAATTTTGGGTACTTTCCAAGAATGTTACATGCTGGAATCAACTTTCCAAAGTCACCTTCCTGGAAAATAAACCCTGGTGAGATTGCTCAGAAAATGCTCATATTACTGCAGCTCTGGTGAGCAGATTTTAGTTTCCAGGATGCAGCAGAAATACCTCCCATATAGTGGTAAGACATTAGTGGCAATGTTATCTTCATCTGGCTAATGTTTTACCATTATGCGGGAGGTATTTCTGCCTCACCATGTAGTTTCTTAGAGAGCAAGCATAGTCTGGTGGAATCAGTCATTGAATAAACCCTCAGTTATGACTTTGTTCCCGCACGACTATGGACAGCTATTGAACAGTTTAATTTATTCCAATTTCACTCCCAAGGCTTGGGTCAAGATTTGATACGATTTTCTGGCACTTCCCAATAGCGCTGCATATTAGAATCCTCTCCCCAGGTTGATTTTTTTTATCAAGGAGTCAAATGGCAAATCAACCGGGTTGAGATTTGAACCGATGTTTCTAACAACTCGACCACATTACCCATAGCTATATTTAAACATTAAACTATGCACACAGTGAAAATAGTGTGTCTGTGCATGTGGGTTTTTATGCAAAATTATAATTTTGGCAGAAATTGACTGTTAGTCAGGCAGGAAACGAGCAGTGTACTTACTTACCTTGTGTTGTTAAAATGCTTATTAAACAAAAGCTTGTTATTTTCTGTACTAGCCCTGGATAGTTACAGTGGTCATGTGACGGGATTACCTTTTAGTCCCTGAAGTTACATAGAAGGAGAGGAAATCTATCCCTTTTTATTATTAAAATCACCTTCCATGTTATCAGACTGTTATATGTCATGGAAACATGGCAATATATTTCACAAATTTGCATCATAAAATGAATGTTTTAAACTTTTGTTAGGAGACTTCCAAGATTATGAGGCCTTGAGTCAATGATGACCAGTAACTTACCTATCTATCTCCACTTTACTATAAATTTTTAAAAAATTTATTTTAAAGCAAAAATTTATTTTAAAGCAAAAAAAAAAAAAGTAATAATAATTTATCATATTAATAATAATAATAATTAATAAATTATTGTAATGAGTGTTTCAGAAAATATAGCATAATATCTATAACGGTATTGCTTGTGTGCCTTACATTGCTGAACATAAGCCAGAAAAAAAACAAAAAAAAACAACTTCACCAGTGAAAAACATACATACACATATATATATATATATATATATATATATATATATATATATATATATATATATAATATAAAAATTGAGAAGCATAAGCTGATAAGGTAATTAGTGATGCCCCACTAACGAGTGGATGGAGTGATTCCTGAAGGATCCCTCTACGAAACTCTGGAGTCGGGATACTGAAAGTAATAGTAATCGGCTAAGTGACAAACTTTTTACTTGTATTAATTCTGTTAATGCCTCTGATATCGAGCACTTTATTGCAAAGTCTTCTGGCCTTAAATGTCCTTTCTTTCAGTATACCACTGACTGATAGCATTTTTGGCTTTACACTATCCTTGATATCACTATACACACACACACACACACACACACACATGTAGAATGAGAACAAATGGAGTATAATTCTATTGTTTTATTATTTATCATTGCCTGAAAAGGCATAACTTAGTGTTGAAACATGGAAACCATTGTGTAGCGATTTTTTTTTTTTTTTTTTTTTTTTTTTTTTTCAAAACGTCGTTTTAATCTCATATATATATAACGCATAAAAGGTTAAGTGGTCAGAGTTGAATCAGATCAGGAAATGGTAAAATTAAAAAGTGCTTAATATATGTGTGAAAAAATAAAATAGAAGTAAAAATAACAAGTAGAACTTTTAACTTTAAAAATCAGGAGGTCAGTTGAATCCGTTACCTCAGGCAATTTTTATCAAATGACCTCTTCTTAATGTTGTTTTTTTTTTTTTTTTTTTTAAATACTTACAAACGCTACATTATTATTTCCAAAAATAAAACAAATGCACAACATTGGGTGTAATAGAAAGGGAGGAGCAGGAGGATGTGAAGAAGGAGGAGAAGAGAGAAGAAAAGCAAATGTATTGTAAATGTATTTAGGGGTGGGGGGGTTAATTAAAATGTACCATACTTGTTTTTATCCAGCCTCATATGTACTTAAGAAAAATTTTCTGATATATAAGCAAAGACTTAAAACTTGATTTCTGGTTTAAAAGGTTCTTTGGATCTAGAAATATATATATATATATATGTGTATATAAATAAAAAGAAAGAACAGTAAGATATAAAATCCGGTGTTCATCGGGGTTTTTAGCTTCTATTTTTGAAACATAGTTGGAACTGTGTAGCGGAAAAAATCATATTTTAAATCAATTAATTTATAATATATATATATATATATATATATTTGCTTGCTATTTTTTTTTGATACAAATGAAACTGACTTATGGTTATATCACATTGAAATACTGGCATGATCACCAAAGTTAAGCAATGTTGAGCCTGGTCAGTACCTAAATAGGTGACCACTTGGGAATACCAGCTACAATAATCTTGAATATGTGGGTGGTGTAATGAATAATGACTCAGAATTGTTAATCGCAGAGCCGAGTTTCAATTCTAGTTGGGTTTGTTATATTCACTTACGCACAATTATCCTTGAGAAAGGTATGAATCCACCTCTTCTCCCCCCATCTATGAGTTAATTAGTAAGACTTGTATCAGTAAAACCATTATTATTTCACAAAAATAAAATAAAATTGCATAACAAATATTAAGATTTCAGCAATAAACAACCCATAGAGGTGTTGATATGCTGCTAAAAACAGCTCACTGCAATCTTTTTAAAGATTATTTGTTGAAAGTATTTTTTTCCAAAACTTTCTTATATGATGTTGCCTTTTGCCTTATCTCTGTTTTCCTAGTCAATCTATTAAATAATACTTTTCATTTGTTTTTTTTTCTCCTTTTTGCCTAGTAGTATCTATTGGTAAGTTATTGAGTCACTTTATTTTTTAAAAATGGTCAAAATATTTCTTTTTAAATTCTAATTTTGGTTTATAAGATTTCCAACAGTTTCAAGTTATGGTTCTCAGAATCCTGGGTTTCATTCTGCCCATTGACATCTTCCTATTTCTTCTTTCATTTGGAATTGTCATCCATTTAATTTAATTTTTTTTTTTTTTTCAAACATTTTACTTTTGACTTATGCTATTTTATTTTATTTTTGAAGCAACTTAAGATTTTGGCCACTACTTAATTTTGTGAAAAAATTAGTATTTACTGGTATATACTCATGTAGAAGCTGATTTCATGTATAATGTGACCCCCTGAATTTTTTTGCATGAATTTTTAACTCTGCCAGAAAAAATTCACCTGTGTATAATGCAATCAGTTTTTTTTAATCACTTCAAAAAAAATTACCTGTGTATAGCACCCCCACCAATTTTTTTTTTTCTTTGTGTAAAAATTGATCATAAAAACTTGCGCTATACACAAGTATATACAGTAAATGATGGTTTCTTAAATATTTTATGTTTATTTTTATAAATCAACAAAAGACTAATTGAACTAATCAGAATTGGTACAATTCTTGAGTACAATATAAAATAATCTATTTCAGTTGTTTTTTTGTTTTGTTTTTCATTTTATTAAGCCACACTGCTATCAGTAGTAGAGTCACTTATAAGTTAGTCAAATTTGAGCACAAAAAATGTGTGTGTATATGTGCAGGGATGTAGAAATATCTGGGTTAGTGTACAGGCATGATTAGCCTGGTGGTAGTGATGAACACCAAGCCTTTGATAAGATATCCATCTAGAAGCAAAACTTTAAAGCAACATTCACCTCAGTCCTAATTCAGATTATCTCCAAGACATTGTGTGTTGTCTCTGGGTTCCATGCTAATACTTAACATGGTATTAACAAAAAGGATGATTTCTTTTTCCTTTTTATTAGAAGAGAGGGACAGATGTGACAGCTTGAATTCTAAGAGGCAGCGGGAGGAATGACATCATGGGAATATATGCCACACATTGGCTTAGCGTCCCTCTGCATGTGCTCTTAATCAGATTCTCAACCTGGGTGTGGGGCTTCAAAATTCTTGTGAACTTCTGTTGAATTCGTGTTGTTTTGGACTTGTATTCAAAACTCAAAAGCAATCCATGTTTTCATCTTTCAGGATGTAGATGATCGTGGCTCTTCACCTCCCTCTATCCCTTGCAGATCTAAACAAGTTCCTTCCCTCCGCTCCCTCCCCCAGACCACGTTCTGTCATCCATTTGCTTAAGCTCGCCAGGTTGTTTTCCCTTGTCTTTTTCCCTCTATTCGACCTTTGAGTATCAGATTCTCCAGGCCCTCCTTCCACATTGTGTGTCCCAGGAACTTCAGTTGCCTATTTCTGGTGTTAAATATAAGCCTCCTCCTTGTTT